CTTCTGCTGCGTGTCAGCGCCGTGGGGAAGGCGCGCCTGACGGCCTGGCACCGCGTGCGGATGCTGTGTTTTGCCTTTTTTAATGGCTGACAATAAACACCAGTACCTGCTGGTCCCAGCATTTGGCTCCCGTGTGCTGTCAAAATAGAAAACATGCCTTGCTCCCTTTGACCCGTCCGAGGAATCCATCCCCGACAGGTACAAGTGTCTGAGAGTGACACAATAGATAGTTGGGCAACTCACCGGATCCAGTTCGTGTTGGTTGCAAATCCATAAACCTACGAAACAAAAGATGTTTCAGTTCACTTTTCTTCATAAGGGTCCAGATTTGGAACAGTCACGAGCATGCTGGCCTGCTGGAAAACACCAGGTGCTGGCCAGGGGCTATTTTCACTCTGAGCTTCCTAGCCTTTCTGCCTCCGCCACAGTGTTCCCTCCCCTAGTGCAGGTGGGAGGAGAGGGGGCAGAAGGAAGGGAGGAGATGGGATGAGAAACTTGGTTTCTGGTTCAGAAATACAATGGCTAACTTACACCTGGTACCTAGGTCAAATGTTTGGTTTTTTTTTCCTTTGAATCCACAGTGTAAATAATCAAGAAATTTTGAAGTTCCTACTGAGTTACAGAGAATTCCCCATATACAAGTATTTCAGTGCTTCCCAGTGATAAAACCTGTCTCAGAACCTCATTGTAGATTCACAAGTATTTCTACTATTGCCTACGCACTTCATATCTAGTCAGGAGGCTGAGTTTGTGAGCTTGGAGACCAAACTCGAACACTGTTAACCTGGCAGGTCAAGTGTAAATCTCTGGATTAAGCTAAGGTTCACTGAGGTCCATATTTTGTTTGGAGAGAAAAAGCATCTACTGTATTTTGCATTTGCCAAAAGTTCTCTGGATCTCAGAGGATCCACAGCCATAATTAGTGCTTTTACTGCGATTGTAAAAGGGCATCTTAAGGCCTGATGTTTTTCTAGAAGGCAAACTAGAATCTAATTTTTTTTTGTTCTTTTGGGCTGCTGAACAGTACTGTCAGTAATACTAATTGATAGAAGTTAGCGTCAAGTCCCAGGAAGTTACCCGGCAGCCGTTGACTTTAGTGGCAGTTGATTGGAAGTGAACCGACTAAAGCTGAAAGTCAATGATCCTGTCTTTGAGTCTCCTTCAGCTTTTTCTCTATTCTCCTAGCCCTGACAGTTGCTTGAGGATTAAGTGAACTAAGGCTGTCAGACAGTGAAAATAACACTTGACAGTATATGCTATTCATCATTTCCCAAAAATTACGGCCTGCTGTCTGTGGCAAGTTCACGTGGACTTTCTCATCAAAGCATGTACAGGGTTCATGCTAGTCCTGTCATGGCCCAAAAGGTCCAGGTAAATATGTAGTGCTTTCTAAAATGTCTAGAACAGTTATCAACTGCAGGTAGTCATTTCTGTCCTTTTAATAGCTGTCATGTGTTTCTCGTGGTCAAGTCCTATAGTTGAGAAAAGGTTAGCAATTCCTTACAGTCTTCAGTCTTTCCAAGTAACACACAATTCAACGACTTGAATGCCTTTCTCAGTGACTAGCCAGTACATAGACCTCTCTACTTGTTGGCAATATTTACTTATGTCCAAATGGCCCTGGTAGCATCTTGCCTAAGCAAATCTATCTTTCTGTCTCCTGGAACAACTGGGTGACTTGAAGGCACAAAACCTGTTAGATTCCTGAGGAGGATACCAGGAGGCACATTTCCAAAATACTGTGTGTTGACTTAGTCTTGAAAAGCTCTTCCATAAGTTTCAGTTTTCTCAACCATGTGCGGTGTTCCTGTGTCAGTCACATTCAGAGGCTGTCTAGACGAAATATCATCAATGCCAGAGTCTTGGCAGACATGTGTTCTTGCTACAGATTGTTCCTGCACAAGCAGAGATTTCATCTTTGACATCACAGAAGCACGTAGAAATTCTTTCTGTTTCCAAAAACTGCTACCAGTTTTTGACAAAAATGAGTTTATGACTTGAATCTGAAAAGTAATTTGGATTTTTTTTTTCATCTGCCCATTTGTAAAGGGATATTCCTTTCCAGCCTCAGCATCAATAAATGTCTTGGAGATTTAGGTAGCTGGCTTTGCAGAGATGCTGTGTGAAATGATTTATGGTTATCTGCAGGTAATATAATTTTGAATGAAATTATGAAAAACTAGTAGTTTGGACTCTAAAACGCAAGACACAGTGAAGTATTCTAGATGTATGCATTCATCTGAACAGTAGACTTACAGCCCTCACAGTGTTTACAGAAATTGAGCATTATGAGGAAGTTGTTTAATACAAAGCTAAAGGCTGTAATGTCCCCATCCATCTGTAATATTTTGCATGTTCATATGTATGTAAGATTTTCTTGGATGCCAGTATTCATGCTTAATCTCTCCTGTCCTTGAATTAAGAAAATAAGTGCAACTGATCACTTCTTTTAGCTGCTGTCGTACTGATGACTGACTCATTTTTTTTTTTGCAGTTGTGAATGTAGAGGCCACATTCCCTAAAACACCCATGTCAATGGAATATTTTTCTGGTTTATGAAGCAATGTACTGGCCATATGTTTTGTTGTGACACTGGTGATGCTCCTCACTGTTGCTACTAACAATCATTTGTCCACTTCAGACTTTCTCCCTGGTATGTAGAAGTGGTAGATACTTATCCCACTTACTCAAAAGATGGTAAAGATACCTGCCCAGTACCTGTGGATTCCAAAGCACTTCAGAACAGAGAGCAGCATCCTTTTTGTTATTTATAGAGTGGGAAACTGAGGTATGCAGAGGTGAGGAGATGCTGCCAAGATCAGTTAGTGGGCCCAGCAGATCAAATTATTGAACTGAACATTCAGGCTAGTTCGAAATGTTGCTTTCATTTAGCCCGACAGGAAGTTAGTTCCTGTGAAAACGGCAAAGGACCGGATTCAGATGGGATATTTCAAGAGATGTGCCTAAAATTTCTTGTATATCTGCCTTTGTTAGACTCGGATTCACTATTTTGTGCATTAGCAGTGGACTGCTGCAGGACTGCACAACCCGTAAATTCATGATTGAGCCTCATAGCTGAAAATGAGGGCAAAAATTATGCCAGTGCAAAATGATTCTTTGCAACAAGTCAGCTACATAAGTCTCTGAGAAATGTTCCTTGCTCGTACCACTCTTAGTTTAGTTCTGTAAGTACTCGAAGTGGCCGAATTAAAGATAATAGTACTTGAATTAAAGTAACTAGGTTGTCCTGCATACACTGCAGTCACACACCTGCCTTTATAAATACACATGTGTTGAGGGATCCGTTGCACCAACTTGTCTAAAATGGCCGGATCCCGGATCCTTGCTGTTGCAGGGGTTAAGTTTTGATCTTCAGTTTCCCTTGGCTCTGTTACTGTTGTTGTGAGAGGAGGCAAAAATAAATAGAATTTGTGTTCTGGAATAAAGTGGAGCCTGTGGGTGCTGAAAGACCATCTCTACTTTTTGTGTTTGGGTGTGCATGATAATTAGCACAAAAGTAGCTTAGAGTTAAAATATATCTCCTTAGTAAGGGGTGTGCTGGTCTAAATAGCTGCTAATTTTCATTGTGCAGTTTCTGTGAAAACCTTATTCCTCAAAGAAGCTGGAGTAGACCACGGTACTATTGCACATACGTATGCATGCATTAATAAAATATTGGTTTGTTTAGGTTTTTTTTTTTAATCTTAAGGTCTCTGATAGTCTGAACAGGGTAATTATAGAGACAAAAAGCAAGGCTAGAGTTTTGGAAGCAGTCTCAAGTGTAATGATTTTGATTAATGGTCCCATTTTGAATAACAGAATGTTAATGTGAGTATACATACGACTTGATTCAGGGCAGCCAAAGCTAGAGAGGAATTGATTTCGCTCATGTGTAAATCTGCCTGGCCTTATACTTTTATTATTCTCTTGAAAGAAATAGCAGGATGTCTTTGTATGAACTTCTATAGTTGTCTGGCAGATTGAGTTCTACAAAAAAAGGTATAAGCTCTGTTCCCAGCAAATTTTTTGCTAGTACACGTAGTGTTTGTTTTCCAGAAAGTGCCTTTAGGTTTACTTTGATTAAGTTTAAATAAGTCTTCAGAATTTAGTTTGTTTCTTGTCTTTGGAAAATTTCAGAGGGGCATGTTAACGATAGGACTAGAAACTAGAGTTGGTAGATTTGTCATTTACTTATCGAGTGTATTTAATTAGTTATTATATGAGATATGGTTACTAGATAACAAAACAAGATAGCAGCTTAACAAAGCATGGCTAAAAATAATAGGCGATTTGTGCCCAGTTTGGTTTTAGTCATGCTGATAGGAACTAAAACGACCAGAGAATGTCAGAGGCCAGAAGAGTTAAAATTAAGGAATAATAAACTCTGCCATTGGTACAGTATCTGAACTTGAGCAAGTTTCGTTGCTAACTGTACGTGTTAAACTTAGCACAACAGAGGACAAAGTGAAAACACATTCCACATGTATATGGAATATAACTATGACTCTTTTCCAGGATTTCCTTTAGTAAAATGAATTTCACCTTCTGCTTTCCTCTTTCATCATCTGTAAAGTTACCCTGATATTCAAGTGGTTTATGGCTTTTGTGTGAAAAGATTACAGAAGTGTAAAATATTATTATGTGTTATTCCCAGAGGTAATTCATCACCATGTCTAAATATCTCTGTGTTCTTACTGTAACAGCAAATACAGTCAATGGAGTGTTTTTCAGTTTATGGAGAAAGAAAGGGATTGCCTTCTGAGGA